TTTGGGCACACGAGGCCTCATGCGGGTGTGCACATGGGTGTGCTCCGTGTGTGTTGTTCTCAGTCTGTTCTCACAGGGCTCCAAGCCCGGGATTTCCCCTTGTGCACACGTCTCCTTGTGAATATCTCCACGTGTGGGCATCGTCCATGATGCTGCCACACGTGTCCCTCGTGTTCTCTCCCACGTGTCCTCTCTCATGTGTGTTGGTGGTTCTCCTGTGTAAATGTCACACCCCCGCCCCTGTGACACCTGGACACTAACATGCATGTGTTCCTGGCGAGCACGCGCAAGACTCTGTTCTCATGGCAGCTGTTCCCTGCCCTGCATCCTGCCTCTCTCGGGTAGCTGGGGAGGAGCCGGCTGCTCCCGTCACCAGAATGTACGGCTGGTGCATTGTTAACGGGCCTTATTTACCTGGAGGCTGCACAGAATGGAACATTAAACACTGTTGGCAATAGAAGCTGGTGGGCTTCTGCTTGCTGGCATCTTGGCCTGGGTACCAGTTTGTCCCCATCCCCACCTCAGGTAATGCCTTTCAGGGCCTGGCCTGCCCATGGGGAGGGTCGGATTTCACTCCTGACTCATCCTGAGCCACCCACCATCTGTGCTGGGTCACCTTACCTGCCTCAGAGTGACCGAAGGAGGGCCTCACAGCAGGGCCACCCATTGCTCAGCCCTGCCCTCTATTGACCATTGGATGAGAGTCGCCTGGAGTGGGGGGCCCAGCTGCAAGTCCCAGAGACGAGGAGCAAAAGTGCACGGTCCACTCCACTAGGGAAAGGACAGCCACTTTGTGGAAAATCCAGGTGGGCTTATTGAAGGAGGTGCCACTTGAATTTGTGGGTTAGGAATCCTTTCTTCAAGAAGCATGTATTGGAGTTACAGGACATAGTCCTTGGCATGGGCCACTTTGGTGAACTTGATGGGGAGGCCCCTGCTGGGGGGTATGGAATGGACTAGGGGGAGGGACCCTCAAGAACAAAGGCTCGGGCAGAAGATGGATTGAACTTGGCCATCAGGGAAGCAGCAGGAAATGAGAGTGGGAAGTTGGAGGTGGGGGTGGGGTGGGGGGCTGTGTCCTGTGCGCTGTGGGATCCTCTAAGGGTGTCAAAGCAGGGCTGTGGGTTCACCTGGAGCTTTGCTTTAAGATTTCGGGGTGACAGGGCTTGGTTGGCAGTGGAGGAGAGTCTGTGAACCCCATGCTTGGCAGGCAGGTGGAAACAGGCCCTGAGCTTTGTGGATGGGGCTGGGGATATGGGGTGGTGGGTATTGAGGGGACCAGGAAACCTGAAGAGAGAGGATGGGGCAGGATGGCTGTGGGGGTGCAGTCCCATCTGTGGGGGGAGGAGACAAGGAGGGCTAGAAGAGGAGGAGGTGGGTCAGGAGGGATGAAAGAGATCCAGAGGGGAGGTGGGGAGTCGCCTGGGTGGAGGGGCTCTGGGCTGTCCCAGACCATTTCTCTGGGCCCTAGGTCAATGGTTGGAGCCTCCCGGCACTGTGTGGGGGTGGTGGGGGTTGGAACAGAGGTGACTTGGCTGTGGATATGGTCAGGCCTGGTGAGTATGGCTGGGGCACAGCCACTGGTCAAAAAACCTTAGCACTTTCTATTCCACGAAGAGAGGGGGTGCCCTTAACAAGGTGCAGACTGGTTGGGACAGGGAAGGTGGAGGGGCCTTGACCTGGCACTTAAGGCCTCAGCCATCACCAGTAAGGAACTGACTTGGGGGGTCAAACTCTGAGTGAGAAGGATGATTCCCCTAGAGGAAAGACAGCCCTCATGGCCAGGAGTGGGGACCTCCACCCACCCCATCTGTCACCCCAGCCAAGTCGTCTCCATGTCATCCGGTGGCCCCTGAAGCTGCCCTTAGCTTTTCTTTCTTTGAGAATTTTATTTTTTAAAACTATTTCTTTTGGGAGCTGTGGTGGTGGTGTGCCTAAGGCACTTGACTGCTACCCAGAAGTATGGCAGTTCAAACCCACCAGCCACTCCTTGGAAGGAAGATTAGGCAATCTACTTCTGTAGAGATACCGCCCCAGAAACCCAAGAAGGGGTCACTATGAGTCAGAATTGGCAGTGATTTTGGTTTGGTATTTATTTTGCTGTTCTTGAAAATAAACACAACAAAACATACACCAACAGTTTCTCTGTGAACCATTTAGTGACACCGATGACATTCTTTTGAGTTGTGCAACCCATTCTCACCCTCCTTGTCTGAGCTGTTCCTTCCCCATTAACATAAATTCCCTGACCTCTAGGGCTCCTATCTAATCTTTCCAGTTGCTGTTGTCAGTTTGATCCCACGTAGATAATTCTTCAAAGAGCACAGAGGTCAGAGCAGTCATTCATTCATCACCAGTGAAGCTGAACCATCCTCTTTGGTTTTCAGAAGACTTCAGGAGATATTTTTGGTTAAGGTTTAAAGATTATCTCAGGGCAATAGTTTTAGGAGTTCAACCAGCCTCCATGGTTCCAGAAAGTCTAGAGTCTATAAGAATGTACAGTTCTGTTCTGCATTGTCCCCCGCTTGATCAGGATTCTTGTATGGAATCTTTAATCAAAATGTTCAGTAATGGGAGCTGGGCACATCCAGTTCTTCTGGGGTCATAGCAAACGAGGCAGTTGTTCACGGAGGCAATTTGCCACACATCTGCTTCTTCCTCCTATTCCCGACCTTCCCTTCTTCCTCTTTTGCTCCAGGTGAAGAGAGAGACCTATTGTGCCTTGGGTGGCCTGCCCTTGGCTTTGTTATCACTGTGCCTTTGCTTACACTGATCCCCCTGACCTCCCTGCCTGAGCTAAGTTCCCATCTAAATCTTATCCATCCTTTGAGGGCTGCCTCAGACACCACCTCCAGGAAGACTGCCTGGTCCTCCCAGCACTTGGGACTTCTCCTGGGCCATGGCACGTCTTGCCTTGTGGCAGGATGGCGGTCTGCATGGCTGTCTCTGGCCATGGGGACTGGTCATACTCATTCAGGAAAACAAGCCTCTCCCCCAGCTGTCAGGCCTCATGCCTGGTTTGTGGACATATAAGTCGGGGTGAAGAGGCTGGAGTCCAGTGGCCTGGCTGCCTTCACCCAGGTCCTATATTAAGTCTTCTCCACCTCATGGAGTGGGGAAGCCCCAAACCCACTGCAGTTGAGTTGATTCCAACTCAGGGACCCTATAGGACAGAGTAGAACTGCCCTATAGGGTTTCCACGGCTGTAAATCTTTACGGAAGCAGACTGCCACATCTTTCTCTCATCTTTCACCACCAGGGCTCCTTAGAGAAGCCCACTAACCACGTAATTCTCACCAAGTCATATTTTTGTCCTATTCTACAGACATTAAAAGAGCTCAGAGAGGTGAAGTAACTTGTCCAGAGTCACACAGCCAGTGAGTGGCCCAGTTAGGAACTGAACATTGGTATGTGTGGCACAAAGCCTAGGATTGTCCCTTGGGTGATGTCCTGAGAAAACAGGCTGTGAAGTGGCCTGCCATGTAGCTGGCCTCCATAGGAGGGTGATTTGAAAGGGGTGGTTTTCCTTTCCTCCTTCCATAGTCCTACTATGGGGCAGGCCCACAGTCAGCCCAGGTTAGTTCATTGGCCATTTAGTAATTTCTTATGTCAAATTAACAGACATTTATTGAGCATCTACTGTGTGTCAAGCACTAGGAAACTGGTGATGAAAAAAAAATCTGCCTTGTTCTTTTTATGAGAAAGATAGTAAAATATACAGCAGAGAAGGGGTCCCAGGAGGGGCAGGGCTGAAAGGCTGGGAGGGAAGAAGGGGAGAAGGGTTTACAATTTAAATAAGGTGGTCAGGGAGGGCCTCTTGGAGGAGGTGACATTTATGTAAAGACCTGAAGGAAGTGAAGGAGTGAGATGGTGAGGATTTTGGGGACAGAGAACCCCAGGTGCAGGGAGCAGCAAGGGCAAAGGTCCTGGCCAGAGCAGCCAGGAGCCCAGGGAGTTTGGAGGGAGCTGAGGAGGGGAGTGAAACATGGGGTAGTCACTGGGGCCTTGGAGATGGGTGTACAATCTTTGATGCTTGTTCTAGGGGAGATGGGAGCCCGTGCAAGTTTTGAGCAGAGAATGTGACTGATCTCATGCTAAATGTTATGAAGATAGTGTCTGGGGAAGGCCTGTCCCTGCCCCCTGGCTGGGCTGGGTAGCAATCGAGACTGCCACAGGAGATGGGACATGGAGTAGTCACGGCTGGACAAACGCTCTTGGGGGACCTCCTGTGGCCCAGATGAGGGACCAAACACCTGGTTTCAACTTTCCATGTTACTGAGTTGCTGGATCATCTTCCCTCTGCCTTAAGTCCCCAGCTATAGAGTGGGAACAATGCTACCAGCGCTGTCAAGACCAAAGGAACTACTGTGGGAGCCCTGGAGTTTGCAGGAGACATCAGAGAAGGCTTCCTGGAGGAGAGAGCATTTGCACTAAAGCCTTAAAGTCCAAATAGATTTCAGCCTGGTGGAGGGGATGCGTGCGAGGGCAGTGGAGGAAGAGGAAGAGCTTCAGGATGAGGAACAGTGTGAGCAAAAGCCGCAGGCTGGGTAGAGCAGGACGCGTACAATAATCGAGGTTGAGTGCAGCCAAGCTGACAGGTCTCTGGGGAGTGGGAAGGCTGGAGGGCCCCTCCCTTCCGCCCCTGCACAGAAGGTTTGTTGTCACCCCTGCCCCCACTGCAGCAGCTGGCAGGGCCAAGGCTGCCCCTTCAGCTGGCGCCTCTTTTTGAGTCACCTCTGGGGCTCCCTGGGCCGGCCCCGCCCCTCGGGACGGGGGCGGAGCCAAGCGGCCCCAGAGCCGGCAGCGGAGGCCAAAGGGGCAGGTGGGGGCTGGCAGCAGGCGGGCTGTATGGCTCAGCCTCAGGGCCCCAGAGCACCAGCCCCCTGGCCTGCCCCTGATGCTGACCAAACTTTGGCTTCTGCCGGGACTCCCGCCTGAGCAGCCCCGCCTACCCGTCCGTGTGGGATTTGAGGGCTGAGCTGCGTGCAGACCCCGGGCTGATGCAGCGCCGGCTCCTTCGGGTCCTGGCCGGAGTCCTTCTCACCCTCCTGTGCACGGGGCTCCTGTCCCTGCGGTACCACTCAAGACTATCCTCCCAGGGGGCGTGGGTGACCCCCGAGCCCAGCCTGCCGAGCCCAGGGCACCCGGAGCTGCAGATACACAATGTCTTCATTGCCATCAAGACCACCCGGGCCTTCCACCGCTCACGCCTGGAGCTGCTGCTGGACACGTGGGTCTCCAGGACCAGGGAGCAGGTGGGCGTGGCTCATGGAGGCCTTTCCCCTGGGCTGGGAACGCTGGTGGCCTCGGCCACCTGCCCCATCTGGGCCCATCTTCCCACTCCTCCACCCCAGGCTCTGTGCCCTGGCTTTGGGGCCCGCCCGCAGCTCTCCCTGTGCCCTCGCTTGTCCTGACGCCAGGTGTTCCTCAGGCCTACGGTTCCATCTCTCTCAAGGGTCAGTCAGGCTGGGCCCCTGCCCTGGGCTCCTGGGGCCCTCCAGGGGTTTCCCTCTATTTCTGCTGCTGCCTCTGCCCAGCCTGGCCCTGGGGACAGCAGTGGGTACTGTGGACCTGAGCCAAGGCCCCTGAAAGGTCCCGACCCAGGCCCCAGACACTGACCTTCCGCTCTGGCTCTGAGGGTGGAGATGGGGCCATGTGGGGAGAGTGGCCACGTGGGCACCTGTCAGCCCAGCTCCCATGCCTTTGCTGCCCAGGCTGTGCCAGGGGAACAGGCGTCTCACCTCCTGTGCTCACTTCCTGCGGGGCTGTTTCTGAGGGTGGAGAGGAGGCTGCGTGTGCTGGGACAGTGGTAATAATCCAGGTGGGCATGAGGGGGGCTGGAGGCCTGGCACATGGATTGTGTTGTGAGTGTATGCATGTGTGTTTGTGAGTGAATGTGCGTGTGTGTGAGTGTGTGTGACTGTGTGTGTGAATGAGCATGATGTATCTATGTGTGACCAAATGTGTGTTTGAGTGTGTGTAAGTGTATGAATGTGTATGTTTGTGTGAGTGAGCATGTGTGTGAGTATATGTGCATGACTGAATGTGTGTGAGTGTGAATGTATGAGTGTAAGTGTATGAGTGTGTGTGAGTGTATGAGTGTGTGTGACTGTATGAAGGTGTGTATGAGTGTGTGCATGTGAGTGAGCATGTGTGTGTATGTATGACCAAATGTGTGTATGAGTGCATGTGTGTATGACTGTGTGTGAATGTATGAGTGTGTGTGTGACTGAATGTGTGTGTGAATGTATGAGTGAGTGAGCATATGTGTATCGTGTGACTGAATGTATGTGTATATATGAGTGTGTGTATGAATGTGTGTGACTGTGTGTGTGAGTATATGGTTATGTGAGTGAGCACGTGTGTGTGTGAGTATATGTGTGTGACTGAATGTGTGTGAATGAGTGTGTGTGTGTGTGTGAGTGCATGTGTGTTTGCTCATGTGCATGGAGCCAGAGTGTCACTGTTCGATGTGCGGCGACAAGGAGTGGGTGATGACAGCACGCATGTGGCTTATGCCTTTCAGAGGAGACAGCTTTGGCAAGCTGAGTCCCCTGCAGCCCTCCCTCTCACCACACCCACTGTCCTCCTTAAACAAAGCTAGCCGATTTGGGGGTATTAGGGACCGTCTCTGGGGGAGGAGGTTGGGTGCATTTACACACACACACCATCCCCCACTTGGGCAGCTGGCTCAGTGGGAGGAAATGACTGAGCCTTTCGAGGGGGCTGGGGGCTCCTGGGACATTAAGGAGAGGAAGGGGGTGTCTGGAATCAGTCGGGGCCCCTGGGGAAGGGGCACTTCCCCCAGGTTTCCTGGCACCCCTTTGCACCCTGGATTAAGCCTTTACCAGCGGGGGCCCCCAGCTCCCCAGGCTCTTTCCTGGGGCCCCACAGAGCTTCTCAAGTCAGAGAGGTTCTGGTTCTGCCCGGAAGCCACTAAGCCCGGCCCTCCCCGCAGACCTTCCTGTTTATGGTGACTCTGTGTACACCCGGGAGCATGGCCTCGTGGTCCAAGGCCCTTCATATCTTGTCTTTCCCTGGCCCCGCATGAGGAAACTGAGGCCAGAGAGGAGGACATACTCTCTAGGGTCACCCAGAAAGCCTGAGTGGGACCAGGCCTGAGTGGCTCACCTGCTGGGGTTCGTCCTTCTTTGGGAGCCCAGAGTTAGCTGGGCCAGCAGGACTAAGCCTGCAGGGGAAAGGCAAGCCCTGAGCCCCTTCTCTGCCCCACCCCGAGCCCTGCTTAGGCCCCCTAATCTAGGCTCCCTATGCCCCATCTCTCCCTGCCTAGCTGGTAGGGTATGGGTCTTCATTAGGACTCCATCCCAGTCCCCGCCTCTCTACCCCCATACCATCCAGCTGCCCAGTCAGCCAGGGGGTAGCTGTCAGCTGCTCAGCATCTGTTGGTGGGCGCCGTCTAGGTGATTCTGACTCCTGGTGACCCTGTATGACAGGGTAGAACTCTCCCATAGGGTTTTCTAGACCGTAATGTCCACAGGACCTTTTGCAGGACTTTCTCCCTCGGAGCCGCCGGTGGGTTAGAACTACCAGCATTTGGGTTAGCAGCTGAGTGCTTAACCGTTGCCCCACTAGGAAGTTGCATATCAGACCCTTCACTCTATTTAACAGCCGGAACAACCCCAGTGACAGGTGTGGCTCATCCCCTTTGACAGGTGAGGAAACTGAGGCTTGGTAAGGTTAAGCAGAGAGAGGTGATCAGCACTATGAATCTTGTTCTTAAAGGCATCTTTGAAAGAGGATACTCAGATGGAAGAAGTGGGGGGACGGGGACCCCATGTGAGCTCCCGTTGTCTCCCACCCTTTGGCTCATCTCTCTGTGACTTTAGTTAGGGTCCTCCGTGTCCCCATCTGCACACATCACACGGAGGTCTCTGGGCTCTGCCATCAGGAGCAGCCCTGAGCTGGTTAACTCCGGAACTGGCACCGGCCCCAGCTGGTTAAGGGCGGCAGTGGCAGGTGGGCCTTTGTGGCAGCGGGCTGGGGCTCGTGTGCGGCTTTTGTCCCCACTGAGGGGGTGGGCTGGAGGCGTGTTTTCTGCTCAGGGGGTGGGTGGCAGCACCATACCACCCTTTCTCTGCAGCAGATGGTCCCTGGCGACCCCCTCCCCTGACCCCAGGAGGCTGCCTGCCCCTTTGTTTTCCTGCTGCCTGTGAGAGTTTAACTATTGTTAGATCCCCGCCTTAAACAAAACAAAAGCAGCCCCCAGCTCCCAGGAGAATCGCCTGCCAGCTACTCTGCAGCACCTGCCTAGGGGCTCCCAGGGATGGAGACCACCAGCCTCAGGGTCCCTCTGCCCCAGGGATCGGCCAAGCGAGCCCTGGCCCCTCCCTCTCTACATCTGCCTTCCCGCCACAACCCCCCACCTCCCACTTGTTTATTACGATTAGTTTCTCATAGACAAGCATTCCCTGGCCCATGGGAGCCATGCTTGAATTTGAGAAGGTACAACTCTTTGGTGACAAAAGTTTATCAGGCAGCTGGAGAAGATAGGCCTAGGATTCCTCAGGGGCTCTGTTGAAACAGACTTGAGGCCAGGGGAAAGTCAGAAGCAGGGACACCAGGCAGGAGGTGACAATGGTGGGTTGGACCACAGGGTGGCTGCACCTGAAGGTTGGGGTGACAGAATTTGTTAACGGAAGGGTGTGTGGTGAGAGAAGGGGAGGTGCCATGGGCAGGTGACTTTAAGTGGTGCTGCCGCTTGCAGAGATGGGGAAGACCAGGGAGGAGAGGCCTGGGGCTCAAGGGTGAGTCTGGGGCTGGAGGTGTCAAGGTGAGAATTGCCCAATTATTACTGGTGCTTAAAGCCGGGAGACTGGGTGGCATTACCAAGGGAGGGGCCAGGATGGAGAAGACAGGACCTGGGCTCCAGCTGCCAACATTTTCCCCATGGCAATCTGGGGACCCTAGGGTTAGCTACATCTGATGGTGGGAGACAGACCCAAGGGAGAAGGACTCAGAAGGTGGACACAGCTAGGCCTTTCAGAGGGGCGCCAGGTGCCAGGACAGGGAGCAAATAGGACCAGGCCTGTGTCCTCCAGGATGTCAGCAGCTGCTGGTGAGACCAAGAGATAAATTTCTCTGCTCAAATGGCCACTGTTTATAGGAGGAATAAGAAGCTGGGGAGTACATGGGGAGCACGTGGCAGCCCTGGGAGTATCAGGGAAGACTTGCTGGAGGAGGTGATGCCTGATCAGGGAGTTAGAAGATGGGGAGGCAGTGTTCTAGAAAGAAGGTGCAGCACGTGCAAAGGGGGGCATCTGGGAGAGTGAGTGGCATGTTTGGGGAACTGAAAGACCTTCCTGCTTAGAGAAGCCCCGGCCTGGGGTGGGGCAGGAAATGATGAGATGAGGCTGAGCAGGCAGCAGGGGCCACCACGGTGGCTTTCACTGGCCACACTTAGGAGGCTGGGCTTTATCCCAAAGGCAGTAGGATGGTGGCAGTAGGAATAACTTTAGGGGTCCCCTGCCTTAGGGGCCCTTCCCATGTGCTCCCCAGCTTCCTGTTCCTACAGTGAACAGCAGCCACTAGAACATACAGACAGGAAAACAGACCTGAGGGGATAAGGCAGGGTCTTTAGAGAGAATACTGTAGTGGCTTAGAAGGCCCATGGCTTCCTTCCTTCCTCTCTTCCTCCCTCCCTCCCTCCCTTCTTTTTCTTCCGTTGTTGAGAACACACCAGCAGGACATACACGAATTCAACAATTTCCACATGTGCAGTCTGTAACACTGATTACATTCTTAGAGTTGTGCAACCATTCTCACCTTCCTTTTCCTAATCGCTCCTTTTCCATTAAAGTAAACGCACTGCCCCAAGCTTCCTATCTAACCTTTCCAGTTGCTGTTGTCAATCTGATCCCACCTTGATCAGTCTTTAAAAGGGCACACGGCTCCAGGCCAACATCCTTTACTAGTTAAGCTAAACCACTGTTTGGTTTCAAGAAGACTTCAGGGAAGATTTTTGTTTACGATTTGGAGATTATCTCAGGGCAACAGTTTCCAGGGTTCACCCAGCCTCAGTGGCTCCAGAAAACCTAGACTATGAGAATTTGAAATTCTGTTCTGCATTTTCACCCCTTTTGATCAAGATTCTTCTATAGATTCTTTGAATAAAACGTTCAGTAGTGGTAGCTGGGTGCTATCCAGTTCTTCTGGCCTCACGGCAAAGGAGGCAGTTGTTCATGGAGATAATTAGCCATGCTAATCATCCATTTTGTCCTATTCCTAACTCTCTTTCTTCCTCTGTTGCTTCAGGTGAATTGTTGCACCGTGAATGGCTTTTTCCAAGCTTTTAAGACCCCAGGCACTATGCTGTGAACTAGGAGGTAAAACAGAAGCACTAAAACTGACATTAGGCCACTGTTCTGATTACCTAATGCCACTCTGACAGGAATATACCACAAATGGGATGGCCTTAACAAACAGGAGTTTATTCTTACAATTGGAAGGCTTTAATTCAAGTTCAAAGTGCCAGGCTCTAGAGGCTGGGTGAAAGCCCCTCAACCTTGGGGTCCAGCTCTGCCTCCTGCTCCTGGCCCACTGGAGCTAGAGGCGTTTTCTTCACTCAGACAGCTGCTGGGGGCTGAGACTGAGAAATCCAAAGGTTGACAAGTAAAAAGGCACAGTCCCGATGTTACCAAACCACAGCAGGCCATTAACTTAAGTCCTTTGTAAGTCCCAAGGTCAGCAGAGTATGGCAAGCTGCTGAACAACAACACGGCTACATGCAGGGTCCAAGTGTGCCATAGGCTAGAGACCATTCCCAAGGCTTCTCATTATATACAGGAAACAGACCACATCCCAAAGGCAGCTACTCAGTTGCTTGTGGTAGATCCCACCATGGCATTGATTGCCAGTCTCATCATGGAGAATAACTACCACCAGCTGCCCAGCCACTCAACCAGGCCCAGCCAAACTGACACACAAACATAACTACCACAGCCACTTAACTGGAATGTCCCATGAAACCATGATCCTAACCCTCCAAAGCAAGAAACCAAATCCCTTGAGGTGTTGGTTGTACATAGCTGGTCATGGGTTTTTGGGGAAACAGGCCTTCTTGCCTCTCATCTCTCCCTATGGCCAGCCCTGTCTTTTGTCCTTCTGGTCTCCTATGCCTCAGTTTCCCCTGACATAGGAGCTGAGCCTGGCTTCGTTGTCCAACTCTTCCTTGTTCTTTCCCACATACTCTCTTGTTCACTCTCATAGTCACCTCAACCCCCATTTTATAGATGAACAGAGTGAGGCTCAAGACGGGGGCTGCCTGCTCTGAAAGACTGGAAAGGAGGGAGAGATTTGTGGGTGAGCAGAGAGGGGTACTGCAGCCGGACGCTCTGAGCTTGGAGGGAGCACAGGGCTAGTTCATGGGTGTGGCCTGAGCAGGAGATGGGGGAGTCCAGGGGCTTGAAACAGACAGAAAGCCTTCTCCTTGGTCCTCACTTGGAAGAGGTTTTAACATTTTTCTAGTCAAAGGGTCAGGGGAAGTCTTTGATGTGCTCAGTGGACAAGAGGACCTGTTTGGGCACCAAGAGGTGACGCTAGGCTGGCTGAAGAGTGGGTGTCACTCCCATCCGGGCCTTGGCACGCTGCTGTCTCGTTTTTGTCACTGTTTCCTCCTCTCTCTCCTGATTCTCTCAACCATCAGGTCCTCACTTCAGAGGGGTCAGTCTCCCCAGTGGGGCCGTTTCCCCACTGCTGACATGACATGGTTTTTGCCCTTTCTCTACACCTCTTTTTCTTTGTTACTATCACTTAACAGCAGGCTGATCCCAAGTTAGAGCAGGGGTTTTGGGGTCAGATGGCCTGGATTTGAATCCTTGCTCTGCCACTTACTAGCTGTGTGACCTTAGGTAAGTCACTTCACCTCTCTGGGTTTCTGTTTTCTCACCTGTGAAATGAGGATAATGAACTCTAGAGCATATGAAAAGCACTTACCACTAAGCCTAGCTCATTTCATAATCACTGTTACTATTTTTTTTATTTTTATTTTTT